TAGGTCTTCAATATACATGTTTTGTGGGACACAAATATTCAGTCCATAACAGCCCTCACACTTACTATCCAATATTGTTAAAATTACTGATTCTATCCAATCAGCAGCTAATAGTTTGCTCTTGTAGACTTGGCCAGCATGTTCTATTCAGTGCCTATTTTAATAGTTTCTCAGTTGCAGTTTGCCTTCAGTTCCCAAGGGACACAACACACCTTTTTCAGACCACTCACAGCATACTTGAGTGGTTCTGCCATTGTGCTCAGTCTTTGCAGACACGGTATTAACTGCTTCACCCTTTCTCCAGGTGGCTGACATTGCAGCACAGGTCTGACGTGACATTGATGACATCCTCCTACAAGGAGATTCTTTTGACACACTCATTAAAGACATACAAATCCAGTATCTTTTAGTCTTTTGGGGGGTTCTAGTGATGACACTGTCATCATCTATAAATTTTGCTTCCTCTCACTGCTGCTGCTTCTTACAAATCAACTCACTTCCAGTGGGGCTCTTTCCAGCCAAAAAACTCTAAAATCTGTCCATATTGAAATCAACGGCACTCTTGTGAATGCTCTCAGAAACTCCTTCACTAAAGAGACTTTGACAGCCTCATCTCATGCCTCCTAGAGTCTCTGGACCGCTTATCATGGACATAAGTTAAGTTGCCCAAGAGCTTCTGGTGGAAGAGACTGCACCTTTTAGCTTCATGCTATACACCATTAGAACAACAAATTACTGGCTATATCCTGGGGTATCTCAGAGATAAAGGCTCTCACAGACCCTAAGCCTATGGCCCTCCACACCCAGATGCCCATTATACTTGGGTCATGGAAACAAGACCTCACAAACTTCACTAGCTACCAATGCCTCTTTAATACAAGATGGAGCCAAACCTGGGATCTCTGGCATAATCCACCTGCAGTGGCCTCCCCTGTCCCCAATCCATTGCCAGATGCCATGGTGCTAGAAGAGGCCACCTCTCCTCAAGACCCCTGAGCTGCCTAGAGAGTCCCTTGGGATTAGCCAAATGAATAGCAATAGGAGTTTGTTGGCACTACCATTCATCATAAAAATAATATAACTCAGTGGGATATTACTGTTTCCATCCCTTAGTCAGGAAGTCTTTGATAAAGGATGAGACCCCAAGGTCAACAAATTTGGCCAAACTTCAGGTAGTCATTTTAGCACTGGATGCTTTTGCCAAAAAATAGTCCCATCTTCACATTTATTATGAACTACTGAGACATTGCTTAAGAGTTAACCCCATCAAAGTAAAGAACTCTGGAAATCTCCTGCCCCCGGATATTCAAAATATAAATATAAGTTAAAAAAATATAAATCAAAATCCTACATCTCAGGGTCCCTGAGAGGTGTAGTCTTAAGCGCCTGACTCTTGGTTTGGGGTCAGGTCTTGATCTCAAGGGTGTGAGACTGAGCCCCACACTGGGCTCTACAGTCAATGTGGAGTCGGCTTAAGACGCTCTCCCTCTCCTTCTGCCCCTCCCCAAAATAAATAAATAAACCTTAAAAAAATCATACGTCTCTATACATACTAATGCTATGATACAAGGATTTGCCAGGACATTCCTCTTTCCCTTCAAAGTACAAGACATTACTAGTAGTAACCAAAGCACACATTTTACTTCTCAAAATACACAATTCTGGACTCTTGGAAAAGGCATTCAATAGGACTTCCATGTCCCTGACATGTTCTGGATGGATAGTATACTGAGAGATGTAACTGTCTTCTCAAATAATTCCTCTTCAAATGCTGGTCCAGCAAATGGACCCCTAAATGGACTTCTAACTTACTCCTTGAGCAACTGGGATGGAAAACTAGTGGGCCATATAATTGAAGGCAACCCTGGGGCAATGGTGTTGTGAGCTGGAGTTGGCTGAAATTGAATATATCAGCAGAGTAAGCATGTAAGGTAGGGTACAGGCAATTGGAGACCAAATGACAAGTCCGGCAATTTCTGATTTCCACTGTGTGGGTAGCTTTATTGGCAATCAGTTTAACTAGAATCCTTCATTCTCCATAGCTGATCACTCTGGATATCTGATCAGTTTTTCATCCTCTACCATCCTCCAGGTGATGTCTGATCATCTTGGCCTGTCTTTAGCAAGATTCTTGTTAGGTTGGTTTAACCTAAGTCCTCCTTAACCCTGATGTTTCCGCTTGGTAATTTTCCATCCACAGACCCCCCACTCTGCTGCTTGACTATAAATTCCTACTGCCCATGCTGTATTTAGAATTGAGCCTGGTTGTATACTGAGATCCCTTTTTCCCTAACGCAACAGTCCCGAATAAAATCTTTTTGTTTGCTTGTTTGTTTTTGGCTTTACTGTCCAGCTGTTTTTTCCTTGACAAAACAATAATTTAGCCATATTTCAGTCAGTCAGTGCTATTCTGTTCTAGATAATCCCGCTTCGGATGTCAATGGTTTTGGAGATCCCCAAGACCATCCTTGGGTTCAGTAATTTGCTAGGAAGTTTTACAGGACTCAGCATATAGTCCTACTCATACCTAAAATTTATTCCAGCAAAATCATCAAGGGGAAAGGCTCTTGGGGCAATGTCCAGAGGAAACCAGACATAAGCTTCCAAGGGTTCTCTCCCTGTGAAGTCACATAGAATGTGTTTAACAACTCCAGCAATGAACTGTGATAGCACATGTGGAATGCTGTCTACCACGTAAGCTCATTAGAATCTCTGTGCTCCTGGTTTTTATGGGGGGCTGGTTATGTAGGCACCTTCTGCCTGGCACATACTAAAATTCCAGATTCTCAGAAGTACGTGTTCAGCATAAACCATATTGTTTGCACTAAGAAATTTAGGCACAGTAAGCCACTGTTATCAGGTAGACTGGTAGGAACACTTCAGGATTCCAAGCCCCCAAGCCTTTCCAAACTCAAGTTCCCAGATACTAGCCACAGGCCAGCCTTACAAGTAGGCCTTCTAAGGACAGCTGTCTCCATCCACTTAAATGGTAACACTACTTCAATTTATTTTTAGTTTGCAAGTTTGCAATGCTTTCAATGATTCAACCCGTTTGTGATCAGTTATGAGTTCCAACTTGTGACAGACACACTAATGCAGTCATGAGATTATCAATCATTTCAATTTTTGCAGTGGTTGCTATTATCTGTTTTTATCTGCATAAATTTGAATCCTAAAATGCCAAAATGCAAGTGTAAATTGTGTGATGAATTTTCTGAAAAGTGGACATTTATTAAGCAAGGAAAAGTTCCCTTTGAAGCTTTTTGTCCCATATGCAAAAATAGTAGCCGGTATAAACCAGCATATACTAACAGCTAAACATAAGAGATGTATTATTTCCTCCACTAGTACTACAGAAAGTGACAAAATAAATTTACTATTATGAGGAATTCAGATTGAGATAGTAATTTCAGCAGAAGTTGTGAGTACCCTGTATGCTTTATATCATCATCAGTCTCTCAACTCAAATAGATTGTTTGAACGTACTGCTGACAGAAGTGTTTTTCTGATTCTGAAGTTGCAATCAGAATTTCAGGTGCCAGGATGAAATCATCAACAACAAAAATAGTAGCTCCATTTATGATTACAGAGATTATCAATGATCTAAATGCCCCACCTTTTTTCAGCATAGCCATGGATTCAAGTAATTACAATGCAGAAAACAAATATTTTCCCTTTGCTTCTGTGCTGCTTTTGGTGGAAGTTAATACTAATACAAATTTTGGTGGATGTTTGCATAAAGTTGCAGACATGTTTATTCCAAGTTGAAACAAAGCATGAATGATTCTACAGAAGATGTTGGCTGTCCTGCTTATAATACCTGCTGTTCGAATAGCTTTTGATATTCTTTCTGTACAGGTTGAAATAATTGTCATGAAATTGTTCCCTTACTTCGAATTTATGCTGTTTGGGTTGAGAGACAAAAGGATTTATGTGACTTTTCTTGGCATTCAGTATTTTTCACTTCTCTTGCATTCAGAAACCCATTGGTTCTCTTTAACAAACACAGTTGAGAGAGTTCTGTTTATATAAAGCACTGAAATCATATTTCAGTTCTCAAGGAAAGGTCCCAATATTCTTGTTGACTATTTATTTTTTCTTGTTGTCTTTTTAAATAATCCATTGAGTGAAGCTAATTTGCTCATTTCTTTTTAGCAACATGATTATGGAAATTGAAAGAAAAACAAAAAGTATTATTAAATATTCCAGTGTTCAAGGGAACTTGAAAGCATCAAAGGAAGAACTGATGAAATCATCATAAGTGCCAAGCTTGTTCTTAAAAGGGAAAAACATTACTTATAAACAGGAAAATAAATTGACTTGTGGATAATCATTATTGTACTTTCCATCACTGTCTTTTGAAATGAGTTCCATCTCTTGTAGAATTTGTTTTTTTTTTTAAATAAATGTTACTAAATGCTTTTCCAGCATGGGAACAAGTGAATTATCATGTGTAAGGTCAAAGAGGAAGGGAAAAATTGACAAAAAAAAATGTTCTCTTTTTGTCAGTGAACAACTTCTTTAAAAGAGAAGTTTAAAAGAGATCCAACGTAATTCTGAAGAACGGGAAAGGCAAGTTATGCCATGAAAGATGGTATTATGTATTTCAACAAATCAAAATTTGAAGAGCAATTCCCAGTGTTAACTTCATGCCAGGATAACCACTCATAATGCGAAATTGAGTATGTTTTCTCATCAGTGAACGTCCAGAAGGACAAAGAACGAAATGAGAGAGAGACGACTACTATTTAAGATATGTTACAATGCAAACGGAACACAGACTGTCTCTGGAAGAAATTCTGCAAGTGCATTCAGCAAAACAAGGAACTGCTAGGAGAGCCAATCCATCAGGGAAATATAATTAATGAAACAGGTATGTATTTAGATACTTAAAATTATTTCGGAATAACAACGAATACTGTACTATCAGTATGTCTCCTGCTTTTACCTTATCGAACAGTTCTGCCCAACGTCCCCCAAGTCTGAAGGCTGTTTTCCAGCGACGTGGCGTCAGGGATCTGGGAAACGGCGTGCGCCGTGGAGGCGGACGCGGGACTCGCTCCGGGCCTTCTGCGCATGGGCGCTGCGCCCCTCCCGTCTAGTTCGCGTCGGCGGCTGAGGCCTCGCGAGAAGACGGTCCCGGATGCTCCCGCGGCTGACCGCCCGACCGCGGGCGGGGAGTGAGCAGCCGGGGAGCCGCGGGCGTTTGGGCGTGGGTGGCCCTTTAAGTAGGGGCTCCGCGCGGGAGGGGCGGGTGACGGAGTCCGCCTTGGTACCTGAGCTCGGGGTGAGTTCTGCTCCGTCTTATGCATCGAATGCGAACCAGCACGTCCCAGAGCTTGTTACCGAGCGAAGCTTGGTGTTTTCATCTCCAACGTGAGGGGTCGGCCGAGGCCTCGGTAAGACCGGCGGAAACCGGCCTTGGGGCGCTCGTGGCCTGGCGCTTCTCTCTTGGGGAGGGGGAACCTTGTTCTTCTCCACTCACGGTCCCTCTTCGTCCTCCCAGCCACCTGTGGTCAGTGTCGCGTCCCCATGGCAACCGCGTACCGGGCTCAGGGAAG